CCATGATCATTTCTCACATCACTTATTTACCACTTGGTCCCAAGCCAGCATCACTACTCTGAAGCCCCTTGAATCTTTATACAAACAATCCACAAAAACCCTTGATAAGGAATCAGTTCAATATCACCATTGTTTAATATTAAAGAAATACAACCTGCTTAGTTGGGAAAATGTAATTAAATATGTACACATCTGTTTAATGTTTAAGACTTTACATAACCCGACTTCACCATCAAATCAGTTTGTAAATATTAGAACGACTGCTCCACGAACTACTAGAGGAGGTGACAGAGGAGACTGCATTATTCCTCTCAAAAAAAGTCAATCTGTATTTTCAATGAGAGCTGCTAGGGAATGGATTTCCATCCGACCAACAATTAGAAGATCATGCACTTTTCGTTATTTTCAGTCTCATGTTAAAAATTGGTTATTGACAAATCAGCATTGTCAGCATTAGTACTGTATTCTTGACACATTTGTACTGTTGTCTTTGGCTTTTTGTCCTCTGCTCCCATCAGTCTGTTCTTTTTTTTTTTCTTCTTTTCTTTACTTTTTAACTGTATTTTTGATATAAAAGTGTATTTAATGTTTAATGTTGTGCTTCTATTTTAGGTGTGACTTTTTAACATTCTGTGAAGGGTCTACGGATGAAAAATAGCCATTCTTGGCTAATTCTGGCACATTTTACAGTAATGTTTATTAATGTGCATTGACCCTGTAAACAAATAAACTAAACTAATATTTGTTCTTCTGGGGAAAGTCTTATTTGTTTTATTTGGGCTAGAATAAAAGCAGTTTTTAATGTTTAAACACCATTTTAAACTCAATATTATTAGCCCTTTTAAGCTATATTTGTTTTCAATTGTCTCCAGAACAAACCACTGTTATACAATGACTTGCCTAATTACCCTAACTTTACCCTGATTACCCTAGTGAAGCCTTTACATGCCACTTTAAGCTGAACACTAGTGTCTTGAAGAATATCTAGTCTAATATTATGTGCTGTCATCATGACATAAATAAATCAGTTATTAGAGATGAGTTATTAACACTGTTATGATTAGAGATGTGCTGGAGAAATCTGCTCTCCGTAAACAGAAATTGGTGAAAAAACAAACGGGGTGAATAATTCTGACCTCAACTGCATATAAAACTGTAATAGCTTAGTTTAAATGCACTTTTGTAAATAAATAAATAAATAGTATAAGCACTTTGACAAAAATGTAGAAAGTATTTTTGTAGTATCAAAAAGTGCCATAATGATAACCATCCAACAAGCTAATTTAGCAAAAATTAGCGTGTAAAATGCCACTAAAATAAGAGCATAGAATCACCAAGAGGCGACACTCTAGTGCACTTTGGGAAACAGCCACTAGATGGCGCGGAGGCCATTATGGAATGAAAACTCCAATAGAACAGCAGCATATCATAATTCTGTAACTAAACTATTAAAAGTGCTGATGATTGTGATGGTAAGTGTTGTTGTGTCATCTTTCAGGTTGTATCTCAGCTTTAATGCACTTTTTAAATAAATAAATAAAACACAAAGCAGCTGCTTGCCATCGCGACAGCAGTTAGATACAATGGACGGCCGCTCACTTTCACTCCAAAATGGTGGAATCGCGAGTCTGTTGCTGGCCGCTGCTGTTGAAATGGAGCGTTCCATTGAGTGTCGCCTTTTGGTCATAGGCTCTTTGCTAAAATGCATTTGAACCTCAAATAACTGCAAATTATTTGAAGCAAATAAAAAGAACTACTCCTTTTAATAGGCTGGCTACGGGCCTGAGAAGTCAGTGTCTCCATCCACCTTTTTTAATGTGCATTTTGCTTCACACCATAGAAAACGTTTAATGGAAACGCTCAGATCTGCGCACAACCGAGGAGAAACTCCTTATCTTTATAAGAAAAAATGTTCATAAATTCTGATATAAACACATTGTGAAACTCCAGCATGTGCTTATACTGAACTATTGTTGTGCTCATTGTTAAATGTCAAAGTAAACTAATGAACAATGCGAGTTAAGGATAGCTGATCGACTAATGTCATCTTGCTATTTAAAAACTGCTATTAGCTCTTTTAAAAATGTTAGATAAATAGTCATCTTGACTTAACCTTGAAATTAAAGTGCCTTTAAATACAGTAAGAGTCAAAGATGCAAATTTGATATATTAAATGTCACACAAACATTTTATTCCTCAACTTCTGATTTGACTGCTTTGCAAGTTTTAAAGTAGAGAAACTTAAATTTTTCCCCAAGAGCAGGAATGCTGTTAGGAACATGTGAGAGAAAAAAAAAAAAATTAATAATAATAAAAAATTCTGTAGTATGACAGTCTCATACTCAAACCACACTTGTTTACTATTAAACCTTTAGGTCCAAGTCAAATAAGTGTCACTTGCTAAACTAAATACAATTTAGTGGATAACCTTATATAGTCAGTTTGCTACATACTGGCAACATCTAAATTTCTCACACCCAAAAATAACTCATACATGCATAGGAAACTTGACTTCAAAGTTTTAATAAAATCAGTTTAGGACGATTGCATCATACAGCAGTTGAACAGTTTCCTAACCCTTGACAGAGTAATAACGTTTCAGGGTAGAAAAGCTGCTGGATGGATTAGAAATGTCACCGGTTGAGGTCTGGAGGACAGAGGATCCTGTAGAAGACCCATCTTTGGCATTTTGAGGCTGGATTAGTCCACCATATGTGGTGCTTCCTTGCAAAGTGTAAGGAGCAGAGGAACCGGTCTGAGAGCCGTAGACAGCAGTAATCGACTTAGAACTTGGCCCAGCTAACTGACTAGTAAAAACTTGGGGCAATGATACAGATGCATATGGGGTTGAGGATCCTGAAAAAACCTGGCTTGGTGAATCTTGACCCTGGAGTAGTTCTTGCAAAGTGAAAGGGGATCCAGTCTGGGTGGTATAAACAGAGGTAACCGGTTTTGAACTTGGCACTGTCATCGACTGACTTGTAGCACTTTGGGGCAATGATACAGCTACATATGGGGTTGAAGGTACTGAAACAACCTGGCTTGTTGAACCTTTACCCTGGAGTAGACTTTGCAGAGTGAAGGGAGCAAAAGAACCAGTCGTAGTGCCATAGACAGAAGTAACCTGCTTTGAACTTGGCACAGGTGTCAACTGACTAGTAACAACTTGGGGCAATGATACAGACACATATGGGGTTGAGGATCCTGAAACAACCTGGCTTGTTGAATCTTGACCCTGGAGTAGTTCTCGCATAGCGAAAGGGGCAGGGGATCCTGTCTGGGTAGTATAGACGGAGGTAACCTGCTTTGAACTTGGCACTGGTGTCAACTGACTAGTTACTTGGGGCAATGATACAGCCACATATGGGGTTGAAGATCCTGAAACTAACTGACCTGTGGTATCTAGAGTCTGGATCAGACCATCATATGTGGTACTTTCCTGCAAAGTTAAAGGGGCAAAGGATCCAGTCTGGGTGGTGTAGACCGAGGTAACTGGTTTTGAACTTGGTACTGTCATCGACTGACTTGTAACACTTTGGGGCAATGATACAGCTACATATGGGGTTGAAGGTACTGAAACAACCTGGCTTGTTGAACCCTTACCCTGGAGTAGAGTTTGCAGAGTGAAGGGAGCAAAAGAACCAGTCGGAGTGCCATAGACAGAAGTAACCTGCTTCGAATTTGGCACAGGTTTCAACTGACTAGCAACAACTTGGGGCAATGATACAGAGATGCATGGGGTTGAAGATCCATAAACAACCTGGCTTGTTGGATCTTGACCCTCGAGTAGTTCTTGCAAAGTGAAAGGGGCAGGGGATCCTGTCTGGGTGGTATAGACAGAGGTAACCTGCTCTGTACTTGGCACAGGTGTCAACTTACTAGTAACAACTTTGGGCATTGATACAGCTACATATGGGGTTGAAGGTACTGAAACAACCTGACTTGTTGAACCTTTACCCTGGAGTAGACTTTGCAGAGTGAAGGGAGCAAAAGAACCACTCGAAGTGCCGTAAACAGAAGTAACCTGCTTTGAACTTGGCACAGGCATCAACTGACTAGTAAAAGCTTGGGGCAATGATACGGATACGTATGGGGTTGAAGATTTATAAACAACCTGGCTTGTTGAATCTTGACCCTGGAGTAGCTCTTGCAAAGTTAAAGGAGCAGAGGATCCTGTCTGGGTGGTATAGACAGAGGTAACCTGCTTTGAACTTGGCACAGGTGTCATACTAGTAACAACTTGGGGTGTTGATACAGCTACATATGGGGTTGAAGGTACTGAAACAACCTGGCTTGTTGAAGCCTTACCCTGGAGCAGCTCTTGCAAAGTGAAAGGGGCAGAGGGTCTGGTCTGGGTGCCATAGACAGAGGTAACTTCCTTTGAACTTGGTCCAGCTATCAGCTGACTAGTAACATATTTGGGCAATGATATGGTTGCATATGGGGATGAAGACCCTGGAGAAAACTGACTTGTACCTTGAGCCTGGGTAGTCACACCATAGGTGGCACTTTGAGAAACTGAACTAGACAGACCAGGGGAGCTCTGGTCATTAGTGGACTTGCCAGAAACTGCAGTCTTGGAAGCAAAGCCGCCACTTCCCCCTTGTGCAAAGACAATTGGTCCAGAACCACTTGTAGTGGTGGATCCAGACGAGCCCTGAAGTGACCCTACACCACTCATCCCAGATTGATCCACAGGCAGAGAAGCTGAAGAGGGGGTATTTGGAGGTAGAGCTTGGGGTGTGGAGTCGGAACTGCTGGAAACACCACCTTTAACAACCTGAAGCAGATTAAACTTGGGGTTGTTTTTCGGCAAATGAGAGACCACTTCTTCAAGCAAAACCCCAGTCACTGGGGCTTCTGGCACAGAAGACTGGACCACAAGAGGCAAGAAAGCGTTGTCAGATGGCTGACCCCACCACTGGCCAGAATTTGGATAAGTTGAATCTAGAGAACACACACAAAAAAAAAAAAAAAAAAAAAAAAAGTTAAAGCAGAATAATTTGAAAAGGGAAGGATTGAATAATTTCAGTTTGAGGGGAACGATCACTTAAAGTGCCCATCACAATCTAAGAGTTGATTAAAAAAACAAAAAAAAAAACAAAAAAAACAAACAGCAACTACTCACATGCAAAACCAGGAGCATTCTTCCAAAATTGCAGGAAGACTACTAACAAGAGTAACCTACAGGTAGAAAGAGAGAGCATCAATACATTAATCATTTTCAAGAACTCAACATTTGTTGAACCAAACACACACAGTGCAGCTCGATAAACTCACCTTTTCCACCCTTGATCCATGGTTTAATAAAACCAAGCAACAAAACCAAACTCTGATCGCTTATGATTCCAAATCCCCATAAACAAGCCACAGATCCAAGCATGCACAGTGTTGGAGGTAAGTGTGTTTTATAGGCCTTCAGCCACTCAATGAAGTCACTAATTACAGAAACACTGTTCACCTGGGGAAATCTCTGGCTGTTGAAAGATAATTGATGAATGTTTTGTGAAGGCTCTGACCCCCTCTGCTGTTTAAACATTGTAAAGCAGCTAATCCCAGCATTTCACTGTTTATTAGGTTCAGTTAATAAGTCAATTCGTTATTTTTATAGAGTTTTTTATTGCCTAATATATCAATTTAGCTGGATTGTACATTGTATTGTATATTTGTTTACTAGTATTCTGATTATCCTTCATTTGCCCACAACAAACCGTATGAACTGTGTGGTTACATGTTTTATATAGTTTTCATTTAATACATATCACTTGATATTGCATTCTTTGCACTAAAATACCAACACGATCTCACAGTAATTCGTAACTTTTTGATTTAGTGGTTAATTTGTAAGAATTCGTACGATCTAATTCACACTATTTAGTACGATTTGCTCATCACCCAATGACGGTTGGGGTTCCATGCCTCCTTTTTAAAATCGTACATTTTCATACAACTCAACTTCGTACAAATTCATACGAATTACCCACTAAACTGACAAAACGTAAAATACTTACGTTTTCTTGTGAGATCAGGCTGAAATTAGACATTTGTAGACAAGTGTAAAGTAATCTAACAGTATATGGCAAAAGATGAAAAGTCTATTGATCATCTTTAGACACAGTTAAAGAAAGGGTACTAAAGCAACGCTGTTTGTGCTGTGCTCTTCCATTATCTTAGACTTTGGTGCATCAACCTACTTAGTCGCTTAATTTAAGAAATTGTGATTCACACTGATGAGAGTCGTCTTATAGAACATTTTCTCTGTTAAATATACAGTGAAAAGATTGCAGTAAGTACCAATCCATTAATCTATAATCTTAGCACTTCTAAATTAAAGAGACAGGTTGTTTTGTAATACACACTAGTGGCCCAGATCTCTTGCTCTAAAGTGTAAACTCTGTCTGGCCTTTACCAGACTGTTTGTCACTCTGAACCACACACATAAAACAAAAGTGTAGATAAACAATTCATACTACATTGGCAATCATGATACACTAACTGAATCACGTTAAACAATTCCCTTTTGTTTTTACATTTAATTTGTAAAGGACCTGTATTTTCCCAAAAAATAACTAGAATATACTGGATTAACAATTCAGTGAGTAGTACATCATGGCTAAAGGATCTTCAGGAAAGAAGTTCAGTGAACTTTATTTTTTGCAGTAGCAGGTTTTTGAAACAGAACAAGTGATTCATTGTGGGACAAAAACCTCTATAGGTTCTCTAATATTCAGTATTTTGGTCATTTACATCATGCAGTTAAGAACACGTTGTATTTTGAATGGTCAAAAGTCTCAATATACTTTAAAAACACCTTCCTTCTGTAAACAGTTGTAGGCACAAGCAGTTTTTGGAAACACATGTTGTTAACTCAGTTGCCATATTGAAACAAAGGGGTGAAATAAGTCAAGTTTTAAAGTAGAGAAACCCAAATGTTTTCCCCAAGTGAAAGATCGCTGTAAGGTGTACCAGGCAAAAAATAAAAATTCTGTAGAATGACAGTCTCATACTCAAACCACACTTGTTTACTATTAAACCTTTAGGTCCAAGTCAAACGAGTGTCACTTGCTAAACTAAATACAATTTAGTGGACAACCTTGTAAGGTCAGTTTGCTACATACTGACAACTAAACTTCCCACACCCAAAAATAACTCATACATGCATAGGAAACTTGACTTCAAAACTTTATTAAAATCAGTTTAGGACGATTGCATCATACAGCAGTTGAACAGTTTCCTAACCCTTGACAGAGTAGTAACGTTTCAGGGTAGAAAAGCTGCTGGATGGATTAGAAATGTCACCGGTTGAGGTCTGGAAGACAGAGGATCCTGTAGAAGACCCATCTTTGGCATTTTGAGGCTGGATTAGTCCACCATATGTGGTGCTTCCTTGCAAAGTGTAAGGAGCAGAGGAACCGGTCTGAGAGCCGAAGACAGCAGTAATTGACTTAGAACTTGGCCCAGCTAACTGACTAGTAAAAACTTGAGGCATTGATACAGATGCATATGGGGCTGAGGATCCTGAAAAAACCTGGCTTGCTGAATTTTGACCCTGGAGTAGTTCTCGCATAGCAAAAGGGGCAGGGGATCCTGTCTGGGTGGAATAGACGGAGGTAACCTGCTTTGAACTTGGCACTGGTGTCAGACTACTAACAACTTTGGGCAATGATACGGATCCGTACGGGGTTGAAGATTCATAAACAACCTGGCTTGTTGAATCTTGACCCTGGAGTAGTTCTTGCAAAGTGAAAGGGGATCCAGTCTGGGTGGTATAGACAGATGTAACCGGTTTTGAACTTGGCACTGTTATCGACTGACTTGTAACACTTTGGGGCAATGATACAGCTACATATGGGGTTGAAGGTACTGAAACAACCTGGCTTGTTGAACCTTTACCCTGGAGTAGAGTTTGCAGAGTGAAGGGAGCAAAAGAACCACTCGGAGTGCCATAGACAGAGGTAACCTGCTTTGAACTTGGCACAGGTGTTAACTGACTAGTTACTTGGGGCAATGATACAGCTACATATGGGGTTGATCCTGAAACTAACTGATCTGTGGTATCTACAGTCTGAATCAGACCATCATATGTGGTACTTTCTTGCAAAGTTAAAGGTGCAAAGGATCCGGTCTGGGTGCCATAGACAGAGGTAACTTGCTTAGAACTTGGCACAGATGTCAACTGACTAGCAACAACTTGGGGCAAGGATACGGAGATGTATGGGGTTGAAGATCCATAAACAACCTGGCTTGTTTGATCTTGACCCTCGAGTAGTTCTTGCAAAGTGAAAGGGGCAGGGGAACCTGTCTGGGTGGTGTAGACAGTAGTAACCTGCTTTGAACTTGGCACAGGTGTCAACAGACTAGTAACAACTTGGGGTGTTGATACAGTTACATATGGGGTTGAAGGTACTGAAACAACCTGGCTTGTTGAAACTTTACCCTGGAGTAGCTCTTGCAAAGTGAAAGGGGCAGGGGATCCTGTCTGGGTGGTATAGACTGAGGTAACCTGCTTTGAACTTGGCACAGGTGTTAACTGACTAGTAACAACTTTGGGCATTGATACAGCTACATATGGGGTTGAAGGTACTGAATCAACCTGGCTTGTTGAACCTTTACCCTGGAGTAGTCTTTGCAGAGTGAAGAGAGCAGAAGAACCACTCGGAGTGCCATAGACAGAAGTAACCTGCTTTGAACTTGGCGTCAACGAACTAGTAACAACTTGGGGCAATGATACAGATACGTATGGGGTTGAAGATTCATAAACAACCTGGCTTGTTGAATCTTGACCCTGGAGTAGTTCTTGCAAAGTGAAAGGGGCAGGGGATCCTGTCTGGGTGGTATAGACTGAGGTAACCTGCTTCGTACTTGGTGCAGGTGTCAATTGACTAGTTACTTGGGGCAATGATACAGCTACATATGGGGTTGAAGATCCGAAAACTAACGGACTTGTGGTATCTGGAGTCTGGATTTTTCCATCATATGTGGTACTTGCTTGCAAAGTGAAAGCGGCAGAGGATCCAGTCTGGGTGCCATAGACAGAGGTAACTTCCTTTGAACTTGGTCCAGCTGTCAGCTGGCTAGTAACATATTTGGGCAACGATATGGTTGCATATGGGGATGAAGACCCTGGAGCAAACGGACTTGTACCTTGGGTAGTTACACCATAGGTGGTACTTTGAGAAACTGAACTAGACAGACCAGGGGAGCTCTGGTCATTAGTGGACTGGCCAGAAACTGCAGTCTTGGAAGCAAAGCCGCCACTTCCCCCTTGTGCAAAGACAATTGGTCCAGAACCACTTGTAGTGGTGGATCCAGAGGAGCCCTGAAATGACACTACACCACTCATCCCAGATTGATCCACAGGCTGAGTAGCTGAAGAGGGGGTATTTGGAGGCAGAGCTTGGGGTGTGGAGTCAGAACTGCTGGAAACATCACCTTTAACAACCTGAAGCAGATTAAACTTGGGGTTGTTTTTCGGCAAATGAGAGACCACTTCTTCAAGCAAAACCCCAGTCACTGGGGCTTCTGGCACAGAAGACTGGACCACAAGAGGCAAGAAAGCGTTGTCAGATGGCTGACCCCACCACTGGCCAGAATTTGGATAAGTTGAATCTAGAGAACACACACAAAAAAAAAAAAAAAAAAAAAAAAAGTTAAAGCAGAATAATTTGAAAAGGGAAGGATTGAATAATTTCAGTTTGAGGGGAACGATCACTTAAAGTGCCCATCACAATCTAAGAGTTGATTAAAAAAACAAAAAAAAAAACAAAAAAAACAAACAGCAACTACTCACATGCAAAACCAGGAGCATTCTTCCAAAATTGCAGGAAGACTACTAACAAGAGTAACCTACAGGTAGAAAGAGAGAGCATCAATACATTAATCATTTTCAAGAACTCAACATTTGTTGAACCAAACACACACAGTGCAGCTCGATAAACTCACCTTTTCCACCCTTGATCCATGGTTTAATAAAACCAAGCAACAAAACCAAACTCTGATCGCTTATGATTCCAAATCCCCATAAACAAGCCACAGATCCAAGCATGCACAGTGTTGGAGGTAAGTGTGTTTTATAGGCCTTCAGCCACTCAATGAAGTCACTAATTACAGAAACACTGTTCACCTGGGGAAATCTCTGGCTGTTGAAAGATAATTGATGAATGTTTTGTGAAGGCTCTGACCCCCTCTGCTGTTTAAACATTGTAAAGCAGCTAATCCCAGCATTTCACTGTTTATTAGGTTCAGTTAATAAGTCAATTCGTTATTTTTATAGAGTTTTTTATTGCCTAATATATCAATTTAGCTGGATTGTACATTGTATTGTATATTTGTTTACTAGTATTCTGATTATCCTTCATTTGCCCACAACAAACCGTATGAACTGTGTGGTTACATGTTTTATATAGTTTTCATTTAATACATATCACTTGATATTGCATTCTTTGCACTAAAATACCAACACGATCTCACAGTAATTCGTAACTTTTTGATTTAGTGGTTAATTTGTAAGAATTCGTACGATCTAATTCACACTATTTAGTACGATTTGCTCATCACCCAATGACGGTTGGGGTTCCATGCCTCCTTTTTAAAATCGTACATTTTCATACAACTCAACTTCGTACAAATTCATACGAATTACCCACTAAACTGACAAAACGTAAAATACTTACGTTTTCTTGTGAGATCAGGCTGAAATTAGACATTTGTAGACAAGTGTAAAGTAATCTAACAGTATATGGCAAAAGATGAAAAGTCTATTGATCATCTTTAGACACAGTTAAAGAAAGGGTACTAAAGCAACGCTGTTTGTGCTGTGCTCTTCCATTATCTTAGACTTTGGTGCATCAACCTACTTAGTCGCTTAATTTAAGAAATTGTGATTCACACTGATGAGAGTCGTCTTATAGAACATTTTCTCTGTTAAATATACAGTGAAAAGATTGCAGTAAGTACCAATCCATTAATCTATAATCTTAGCACTTCTAAATTAAAGAGACAGGTTGTTTTGTAATACACACTAGTGGCCCAGATCTCTTGCTCTAAAGTGTAAACTCTGTCTGGCCTTTACCAGACTGTTTGTCACTCTGAACCACACACATAAAACAAAAGTGTAGATAAACAATTCATACTACATTGGCAATCATGATACACTAACTGAATCACGTTAAACAATTCCCTTTTGTTTTTACATTTAATTTGTAAAGGACCTGTATTTTCCCAAAAAATAACTAGAATATACTGGATTAACAATTCAGTGAGTAGTACATCATGGCTAAAGGATCTTCAGGAAAGAAGTTCAGTGAACTTTATTTTTTGCAGTAGCAGGTTTTTGAAACAGAACAAGTGATTCATTGTGGGACAAAAACCTCTATAGGTTCTCTAATATTCAGTATTTTGGTCATTTACATCATGCAGTTAAGAACACGTTGTATTTTGAATGGTCAAAAGTCTCAATATACTTTAAAAACACCTTCCTTCTGTAAACAGTTGTAGGCACAAGCAGTTTTTGGAAACACATGTTGTTAACTCAGTTGCCATATTGAAACAAAGGGGTGAAATAAGTCAAGTTTTAAAGTAGAGAAACCCAAATGTTTTCCCCAAGTGAAAGATCGCTGTAAGGTGTACCAGGCAAAAAATAAAAATTCTGTAGAATGACAGTCTCATACTCAAACCACACTTGTTTACTATTAAACCTTTAGGTCCAAGTCAAACGAGTGTCACTTGCTAAACTAAATACAATTTAGTGGACAACCTTGTAAGGTCAGTTTGCTACATACTGACAACTAAACTTCCCACACCCAAAAATAACTCATACATGCATAGGAAACTTGACTTCAAAACTTTATTAAAATCAGTTTAGGACGATTGCATCATACAGCAGTTGAACAGTTTCCTAACCCTTGACAGAGTAGTAACGTTTCAGGGTAGAAAAGCTGCTGGATGGATTAGAAATGTCACCGGTTGAGGTCTGGAAGACAGAGGATCCTGTAGAAGACCCATCTTTGGCATTTTGAGGCTGGATTAGTCCACCATATGTGGTGCTTCCTTGCAAAGTGTAAGGAGCAGAGGAACCGGTCTGAGAGCCGAAGACAGCAGTAATTGACTTAGAACTTGGCCCAGCTAACTGACTAGTAAAAACTTGAGGCATTGATACAGATGCATATGGGGCTGAGGATCCTGAAAAAACCTGGCTTGCTGAATTTTGACCCTGGAGTAGTTCTCGCATAGCAAAAGGGGCAGGGGATCCTGTCTGGGTGGAATAGACGGAGGTAACCTGCTTTGAACTTGGCACTGGTGTCAGACTACTAACAACTTTGGGCAATGATACGGATCCGTACGGGGTTGAAGATTCATAAACAACCTGGCTTGTTGAATCTTGACCCTGGAGTAGTTCTTGCAAAGTGAAAGGGGATCCAGTCTGGGTGGTATAGACAGATGTAACCGGTTTTGAACTTGGCACTGTTATCGACTGACTTGTAACACTTTGGGGCAATGATACAGCTACATATGGGGTTGAAGGTACTGAAACAACCTGGCTTGTTGAACCTTTACCCTGGAGTAGAGTTTGCAGAGTGAAGGGAGCAAAAGAACCACTCGGAGTGCCATAGACAGAGGTAACCTGCTTTGAACTTGGCACAGGTGTTAACTGACTAGTTACTTGGGGCAATGATACAGCTACATATGGGGTTGATCCTGAAACTAACTGATCTGTGGTATCTACAGTCTGAATCAGACCATCATATGTGGTACTTTCTTGCAAAGTTAAAGGTGCAAAGGATCCGGTCTGGGTGCCATAGACAGAGGTAACTTGCTTAGAACTTGGCACAGATGTCAACTGACTAGCAACAACTTGGGGCAAGGATACGGAGATGTATGGGGTTGAAGATCCATAAACAACCTGGCTTGTTTGATCTTGACCCTCGAGTAGTTCTTGCAAAGTGAAAGGGGCAGGGGAACCTGTCTGGGTGGTGTAGACAGTAGTAACCTGCTTTGAACTTGGCACAGGTGTCAACAGACTAGTAACAACTTGGGGTGTTGATACAGTTACATATGGGGTTGAAGGTACTGAAACAACCTGGCTTGTTGAAACTTTACCCTGGAGTAGCTCTTGCAAAGTGAAAGGGGCAGGGGATCCTGTCTGGGTGGTATAGACTGAGGTAACCTGCTTTGAACTTGGCACAGGTGTTAACTGACTAGTAACAACTTTGGGCATTGATACAGCTACATATGGGGTTGAAGGTACTGAATCAACCTGGCTTGTTGAACCTTTACCCTGGAGTAGTCTTTGCAGAGTGAAGGGAGCAGAAGAACCACTCGGAGTGCCATAGACAGAAGTAACCTGCTTTGAACTTGGCACTGGTGTCAACGAACTAGTAACAACTTGGGGCAATGATACAGATACGTATGGGGTTGAAGATTCATAAACAACCTGGCTTGTTGAATCTTGACCCTGGAGTAGTTCTTGCAAAGTGAAAGGAGCAGGGGATCCTGTCTGGGTGGTATAGACAGAGGTAACCTGCTTTGTACTTGGTGCAGGTGTCAATTGACTAGTTACTTGGGGCAATGATACAGCTACATATGGGGTTGAAGATCCTAAAACTAACGGACTTGTGGTATCTGGAGTCTCGATTCTTCCATCATATGTGGTACTTGCTTGCAAAGTGAAAGGGGCAGAGGGTCCGGTCTGGGTGCCATAGACAGAGGTAACTTGCTTTGAACTTGGTCCAGCTGTCAGCTGGCTAGTAACATATTTGGGCAACGATATGGTTGCATATGGGGATGAAGACCCTGGAGCAAACGGACTTGTACCTTGGGTAGTTACACCATAGGTGGCACTTTGAGAAACTGAACTAGACAGACCAGGGGAGCTCTGGTCATTAGTGGACTGGCCAGAAACTGCAGTCTTGGAAGCAAAGCCGCCACTTCCCCCTTGTGCAAAGACAATTTGTCCAGAACCACTTGTAGTGGTGGATCCAGAGGAGCCCTGAAGTGACACTACACCACTCATCCCAGATTGATCCACAGGCTGAGTAGCTGAAGACGGGGTATTTGGAGGCAGAGCTTGGGGTGTGGAGTCAGAACTGCTGGAAACACCACCTTTAACAACCTGAAGCAGATTAAACTTGGGGTTGTTTTTTGGCAAACGAGAGACCACTTCTTCAAGCAAAACCCCAGTCACTGGGGCTTCTGGCACAGAAGACTGGACCACAAGAGGCAAGAAAGCGTTGTCAGATGGCTGACCCCACCACTGGCCAGCATTTGGATAAGTTGAATCTAGAGAACACACAAAAAAAAGGGGTGGAAGTTAAAGACTATACCGTCAAGTTCCATAGAAAAAAAAAAAAACCTATATAAAATCCAATGGTTAAAAGGTCCCCTAATTTACAGACATTTTGGATTAAGACGGAATAATTTGAAAAGGATTAAAGAACTTCAGTTTGAGGTGAACGATCACTTTAAGTGCCTTCAAACATCTTGAAAATCCACAATCTAAGAGTTGATAAAGGGTTCACGTATGAGAGGAAGAATACATACAAACAGCAACTACTCACATGCAAAACCAGGGGCATTCTTCCAAAACTGCAGGAAGAATACTAACAAGAGTAACCTACAGGTAGAAAGAGAGAGCATCAATACATTGATCATTTTCAAGAACTCAACATTTGTTGAACCAAACACACACAGTGCAGCTCGATAAACTCACCTTTTCCACCCTTGATCCATGGTTTAATAAAACCAAGCAACAAAACCAAACTCTGATCGCTTATGATTCCAAATCCCCATAAACAAGCCACAGATCCAAGCATGCACAGTGTTGGAGGTAAGTGTGTTTTATAGGCCTTCAGCCACTCAATGAAGTCACTAATTACAGAAACACTGTTCACCTGGGGAAATCTCTGGCTGTTGAAAGATAATTGATGAATGTTTTGTGAAGGCTCTGACCCCCTCTGCTGTTTAAACATTGTAAAGCAGCTAATCCCAGCATTTCACTGTTTATTAGGTTCAGTTAATAAGTCAATTCGTTATTTTTATAGAGTTTTTTATTGCCTAATATATCAATTTAGCTGGATTGTACATTGTATTGTATATTTGTTTACTAGTATTCTGATTATCCTTCATTTGCCCACAACAAACCGTATGAACTGTGTGGTTACATGTTTTATATAGTTTTCATTTAATACATATCACTTGATATTGCATTCTTTGCACTAAAATACCAACACGATCTCACAGTAATTCGTAACTTTTTGATTTAGTGGTTAATTTGTAAGAATTCGTACGATCTAATTCACACTATTTAGTACGATTTGCTCATCACCCAATGACGGTTGGGGTTCCATGCCTCCTTTTTAAAATCGTACATTTTCATACAACTCAACTTCGTACAAATTCATACGAATTACCCACTAAACTGACAAAACGTAAAATACTTACGTTTTCTTGTGAGATCAGGCTGAAATTAGACATTTGTAGACAAGTGTAAAGTAATCTAACAGTATATGGCAAAAGACGACAAGTCTATTGATCATTTATTTAGACACAGTTAAAGAAAGGGTACTAAAGCAACGCTGTTTGTGCTGTGCTCTTCCATTATCTTAGACTTTGGTGCGTCAACCTACTCAGTCGCTTAATTTAAGAAATTGTGATTCACACTGATGAGAGTCGTCTTATAGAACATTTTCTCTGTTAAGTATACAGTGAAAAGATTGCAATAAGTACCAATCCATTAATCTATAATCTTAGCACTTCTAAAATAAAGAGACGGGTTGTTTTGTAATACACACTAGTAGCCCAAATCACTTGCTCTAAAGTGTAAACTCTGTCTGGCCTTTACCAGACTGTTTGTCATGCTGAGCCACACACATTAAACAAAAGTGTAGCTTAACAATTCATACTACATTGGCAATCATGATACACTAACTGAATCACGTTAAACAATTCCCTTTTGTTTTTACATTTAATTTGTAAAGGAACTGTATTTTCCCAAAAAATAACTAGAATATACTGGATTAACAATTCAGTGAGTAGTACATCATGGCTAAAGGATCTTCAGGAAATAAGTTCAGTGAACTTTATTTTTTACAGTAGCAGGTTTTTGAAAATGAACAAGTGATTCTTTATGGGACACAAACTTCTATAGGTTCTCTAATACTCAGTATTTTTGTCATTTACATCATGCAGTTAAGAACACGTTGTATTTTGAATGGTCAAAAGTCTCAATATACTTTAAAAACACCTTCCTTCTGTAAACAGTTGTAGGCACAAGCAGTTTTTGGAATCACATGTTGTTAACTCATTTGCCGTATTGAAACAAAGGGGTGAAATAAGTCAAGTTTTAAAGTAGAAAAACCCAAATGTTTTCCCCAAGTGAAAGATCGCTGTTAAGTGTACCAGGCAAAAATAAAAATTCTGTAGAATGACAACAGTCTCATACTCAAACCACACTTGTTTACTATTAAACCTGTAGGTCCAAGTCAAACAAGTGTCACTTGCTATACTAAATACAATTTAGTGGATTACTTTGTAAGGTCAGTTTGCTACATACTGACAACTAAACTTCCCACACCCAAAAATAACTCATACATGCATAGGAAACTTGACTTCAAAGTTTTAATAAAATCAGTTTAGGACGATTGCATCATACAGCAGTTGAACTGTTTCCTAACCCTTGACAGAGTAATAACGTTTCAGGGTAGAAAAGCTGCTGGAAGGATTAGAAATGTCACCGGTTGAGGTCTGGAGGACAGAGGATCCTGTAGAAGACCCATCTTTGGCATTTTGAGGCTGGATTAGTCCACCATATGTGGTGCTTCCTTGCAAAGTGTAAGGAGCAGAGGAACCAGTCTGAGAGCCGTAGACAGCAGTAATCGACTTAGAACTTGGCCCAGCTAACTGACTAGTAAAAACTTGGGGCATTGACACAGATGCATATGGGGTTGAGGATCCTGAAAAAACCTGGCTTGTTGAATCTTGACCCTGGAGTAGTTCTCGCATAGCGAAAGGGGCAGAGGATCCTGTCTGGGTGGAATAGACTGAGGTGACCTGCTTTGAACTTGGCACAGGTGTCAGACTAGTAACAACTTTGGGCAATGATACGGATCCGTACGGGGTTGAAGATTCATAAACAACCTGGCTTGTTGAATCTTGACCCTGGAGTAGTTCTTGCAAAGTGAAAGGGGCAGAGGATCCAGTCTGGGTGGTATAGACAGAGGTAACCGGTTTTGAACTTGGCACGGTCATCGACTGACTTGTAACACTTTGGGGCAATGATACAGCTACATATGGGGTTGAAGGTACTGAAATAACCTGGCTTGTTGAACTTTTACCCTGGAGTAGTTTTTGCAAAGTGAAGGGAGCAGAAGAACCAGTCATAGTGCCATAGACAGAGGTAACCTGCTTCGAATTTGGCACTGGTGTCAACTGACTAGTTACTTGGGGCAATGATACAGCTACATATGGGGTTGATCCTGAAACTAACTGATCTGTGGTATCTACAGTCTGGATCAGACCATCATATGTGGTACTTTCTTGCAAAGTTAAAGGTGCAAAGGATCCGGTCTGGGTGCCATAGACAGAGGTAACTTGCTTAGAACTTGGCACAGATGTCAACTGACTAGCAACAACTTGGGGCAACGATAGGGAGATGTATGGGGTTGAAGATCCATAAACAACCTGGCTTGTTTGATCTTGACCCTCGAGTAGTTCTTGCAACGTGAAAGGGGCAGGGGAACCTGTCTGGGTGGTGTAGACAGTAGTAACCTGCTTTGAACTTGGCACAGGTGTCAACAGACTAGTAACAACTTGGGGTGTTGATACAGCTACATATGGGGTTGAAGGTACTGAAACAACCTGGCTTGTTGAACCTTTACCCTGGAGTAGTCTTTGCAGAGTGAAGGGAGCAGAAGAACCACTCGGAGTGCCATAGACAGAAGTGACCTGCTTTGAACTTGGCACTGGTGTCAACGAACTAGTAACAACTTGGGGCAATGATACAGATACGTATGGGGTTGAAGATTCATAAACAACCTGGCTTGTTGAATCTTGACCCTGGAGTAGTTCTTGCAAAGTGAAAGGGGCAGAGGATCCTGTCTGGGTGGTATAGACAGAGGTAACCTGCTTTGTACTTGGTGCAGGTGTCAATTGACTAGTTACTTGGGGCAATGATACAGCTACATATGGGGTTGAAGATCCTAAAACTAACGGACTTATGGTATCTGGAGTCTGGATTCTTCCATCATATGTGGTACTTGCTTGCAAAGTGAAAGGGGCAGAGGATCCAGTCTGGGTGCCATAGACAGAGGTAACTTGCTTTGAACTTGGTCCAGCTGTCAGCTGGCTAGTAACATATTTGGGCAACGATATGGTTGCATATGGGGATGAAGACCCTGGAGCAAACGGACTTGTACCTTGGGTAGTTACACCATAGGTGGTACTTTGAGAAACTGAACTAGACAGACCAGGGGAGCTCTGGTCATTAGTGGACTGGCCAGAAACTGCAGTCTTGGAAGCAAAGCCGCCACTTCCCCCTTGTGCAAAGACAATTTGTCCAGAACCACTTGTAGTGGTGGATCCAGAAGAGCCCTGAAGTGACACTACACCACTCATCCCAGATTGATCCACAGGCTGAGTAGCTGAAGAGGGGGTATTTGGAGGCAGAGCTTGGGGTGTGGAGTCAGAACTGCTGGAAACACCACCTTTAACAACCTGAAACAGATTAAACTTGGGGTTGTTTTTCGGCAAACGAGAGACCACTTCTTCAAGCAAAACCCCAGTCACTGGGGCTTCTGGCACAGAAGACTGGACCACAAGAGGCAAGAAAGCATTGTCAGAGGGCTGACCCCACCACTGGCCAGCATTTGGATAAGTTGAATCTAGAGAACACACAAAAAAAAGGGGGTGAAGTTAAAGACTATACCGTGAAGTTCCATAGAAAAAAAAAAAACCTATATAAAATCCAATGGTTAAAAGGTCCCCTATTTTACAGACAATTTGGATTAAGACGGAATAATTTGAAAGGATTAAATAACTTCAGTTTGAGGTGAACGATCACTTTAAGTGCCTTCAAACATCTTGAAAATCCACAATCTAAGAGTTGATAAAGGGTTCACGTATGAGAAGAGAAATACATACAAACAGCAACTACTTACATGCAAAACCAGGGGCATTCTTCCAAAATTGCAGGAAGACTACTAGCAAGAGTAACCTACAGGTAGAAAGAGAGAGCATCAATACATTGATCATTTTCAAGAACTCAATATTTGCAGAACCAAACACACACAGTGCAGCTGGATAAACTCACCTTTTCCACCCTTGATCCATGGCTTAATAAAACCAAGCAACAAAACCAAACACTGATCGCTTATGATTCCAAATCCCCATAAACAAGCCACAGATCCAAGCATGCACAGTGTTGGAGGTAAGTGTGTTTTATAGGCCTTCAGCCACTCAATGAAGTCACTAATTACAGAAACACTGTTCACCTGGGGAAATCACTGGCTGTTGAAAGATAATTGATGAATGTTTTGTGAAGGCTCTGACTCCCTCTGCTGTTCAAACATTGTAAAGCAGCTAATCCCAGCCTTTCACTGTTTATTAGGTTCAGTTAATAAGTCAATTCGTTATTTTTATAGAGTTTTTTATTGCCTAATATATCAATTTAGCTGGATTGTACATTGTATTGTATATTTGTTTACTAGTATTCTGATTATCCTTCATTTGCCCACAACAAACCGTATAAACTGTGTTGTTGCATGTTTTATATAGTTTTCATTCAATACATATCACTTGATATTGCATTCTTTGCACTAAAATACCAACACGATCTCACAGCAATTCGTAACTTTTCATACGATCTAATTCACACTATTTAGTACGATTTGCTCATCACCCAATGACGGTTGGGGTTCCATGCCTCCTTTTTAAAATCGTACATTTTCATACAACTCAACTTCATACAAATTCATACGAATTAGCCACTAAACTGACAAAACGTAAAATACTTACGTTTCCTTGTGAGATCAGGCTGAAATCGCACATTTGTAGACAAGTGTAAAGTAATCTAACAGTACATGACGAAAGAAGAAATGTCTATTGATCATTTATTTAGACACAATTTAAGAAAGGGTACTAAAGCAATGCTGTTTGTGCTGTGCTCTTCCATTATCTTAGACTTTGATGCGTCAACCTACTCAGTCGCTTAATTTAAGTAATTGTGATTCACACTGATGAGAGTCGTCTTATTTTGACATTCTTATTTAGACTTCTTAGAGAACATTTTTTCTGTTAAATATACAGTGAAAAGATTGCAATAAGTAACAATCCATACAATCCATTATTCCATAATCTTAGCACTTCTAAAATAAAGAGACGGGTTGTTTTGTATTACACACTAGTAGCCCAAATCACTTGATCTAAAGTGTAAACTCTGTCTGGCTTTTACCAGACTGTTTGTCACACATAAAAACATCCACACAGCAGTGTAGCGAAACAATTCATACTACAATGGCTTTAACTACGTTTACAATGATGATACACTAACTGAATCACGTTAAACAATTCCCTTTTGTTTTTACATTTAATTTGTAAAGGACCTGTATTTTCCCAAAAAATAACTAAAATATACTGGATTAATAATACAGTGAGTTGTACGTCATGACTAAAGGATCTTGAGGAAATAAGTTCAGTGAACTTTTTTTTACAGTAGCAGGTTTTTGAAACCGAACAAGTGATTCATTACGGGACAAAAACTTCTTTAGGTTCTCTAATATTCAGTATTTTTGTCATTTACATGCAGTTAAGAACACGTTGTATTTTGAATGGTCAAACGTCTCAATATACTTTAAAAACACCTTCCTTCTGTAAACAGTTGTAGGCACAAGCAGTTTTTGGAAACGCATGTTGCCAACTCGGTTGCCATATTGAAACAAAGGGGTGAAATAAGTCAAGTTTTAAAGTAGAAAAACCCAAATGTTTTCCCCAAGTGAAAGATCGCTGTTAAGTGTACCAGGCAAAAAATAAAAATTCTGTAGAATGACAGTCTCATACTCAAACCACACTTGTTTACTATTAAACCTTTAGGTCCAAGTCAAACGAGTGTCACTTGCTAAACTAAATACAATTTAGTGGATTACCTTGTATAGTCAGTTTGCTACATACTGGCAACAACTAAATTTCCCACACCCAAAAATAACTCATACATGCATAGGAAACTTGACTTCAAAGTTTTAATAAAATCAGTTTAGGACGATTGCATCATACAGCAGTTGAACAGTTTCCTAACCCTTGACAGAGTAATAACGTTTCAGGGTAGAAAAGCTGCTGGAAGGATTAGAAATGTCACCGGTTGAGGTCTGGAGGACAGAGGATCCTGTAGAAGACCCATCTTTGGCATTTTGAGGCTGGATTAGTCCACCATATGTGGTGCTTCCTTGCAAAGTGTAAGGAGCAGAGGAACCGGTCTGAGAGCCGTAGACAGCAGTAATCGACTTGGAACTTGGCCCAGCTAACTGACTAGTAAAAACTTGAGGCATTGATACAGATGCATATGGGGCTGAGGATCCTGAAAAAACCTGGCTTGCTGAATTTTGACCCTGGAGTAGTTCTCGCATAGCAAAAGGGGCAGGGGATCCTGTCTGGGTGGAATAGACGGAGGTAACCTGCTTTGAACTTGGCACAGGTGTCAGACTACTAACAACTTTGGGCAATGATACGGATCCGTACGGGGTTGAAGATTCATAAACAACCTGGCTTGTTGAATCTTGACCCTGGAGTAGTTCTTGCAAAGTGAAAGGGGATCCAGTCTGGGTGGTATAGACAGAAGTAACCGGTTTTGAACTTGGCACTGTCATCGACTGACTTGTAACACTTTGGGGCATTGATACAGCTACATATGGGGTTGAAGGTACTGAAACAACCTGGCTTGTTGAACCTTTACCCTGGAGTAGACTTTGCAGAGTGAAGGGAGCAGAAGAACCACTCGGAGTGCCATAGACAGAGGTAACCTGCTTTGAACTTGGCACAGGTGTTAACTGACTAGTTACTTGGGGCAATGATACAGCTACATATGGGGTTGATCCTGAAACTAACTGATCTGTGGTATCTACAGTCTGGATCAGACCATCATATGTGGTACTTTCTTGCAAAGTTAAAGGTGCAAAGGATCCGGTCTGGGTGCCATAGACAGAAGTAACTTGCTTAGAACTTGGCACAGATGTCAACTGACTAGCAACAACTTGGGGCAACGATACGGAGATGTATGGGGTTGAAGATCCATAAACAACCTGGCTTGTTTGATCTTGACCCTCGAGTAGTTCTTGCAAAGTGAAAGGGGCAGGGGAACCTGTCTGGGTGGTGTAGACAGTAGTAACCTGCTTTGAACTTGGCACAGGTGTCAACAGACTAGTAACAACTTGGGGTGTTGATACAGTTACATATGGGGTTGAAGGTACTGAAACAACCTGGCTTGTTGAACCTTTACCCTGGAGTAGCTCTTGCAAAGTGAAAGGGGCAGGGGATCCTGTCTGGGTGGTATAGACTGAGGTAACCTGCTTTGAACTTGGCACAGGTGTTAACTGACTAGTAACAACTTTGGGCATTGATACAGCTACATATGGGGTTGAAGGTACTGAAACAACCTGGCTTGTTGAACCTTTACCCTGGAGTAGTCTTTGCAGAGTGAAGGGAGCAGAAGAACCACTCGGAGTGCCATAGACAGAAGTAACCTGCTTTGAACTTGGCACTGGTGTCAACGAACTAGTAACAACTTGGGGCAATGATACAGATACGTATGGGGTTGAAGATTCATAAACAACCTGGCTTGTTGAATCTTGACCCTGGAGTAGTTCTTGCAAAGTGAAAGGAGCAGGGGATCCTGTCTGGGTGGTATAGACAGAGGTAACCTGCTTTGTACTTGGTGCAGGTGTCAATTGACTAGTTACTTGGGGCAATGATACAGCTACATATGGGGTTGAAGATCCTAAAACTAACGGACTTGTGGTATCTGGAGTCTCGATTCTTCCATCATATGTGGTACTTGCTTGCAAAGTGAAAGGGGCAGAGGGTCCGGTCTGGGTGCCATAGACAGAGGTAACTTGCTTTGAACTTGGTCCAGCTGTCAGCTGGCTAGTAACATATTTGGGCAACGATATGGTTGCATATGGGGATGAAGACCCTGGAGCAAACGGACTTGTACCTTGGGTAGTTACACCATAGGTGGCACTTTGAGAAACTGAACTAGACAGACCAGGGGAGCTCTGGTCATTAGTGGACTGGCCAGAAACTGCAGTCTTGGAAGCAAAGCCGCCACTTCCCCCTTGTGCAAAGACAATTTGTCCAGAACCACTTGTAGTGGTGGATCCAGACGAGCCCTGAAGTGACACTACACCACTCATCCCAGATTGATCCACAGACTGAGAAGCTGAAGAGGGGGTATTTGGAGGCAGAGCTTGGGGTGTGGAGTCAGAACTGCTGGAAACACCACCTTTAACAACCTGAAGCAGATTAAACTTGGGGTTGTTTTTCGGCAAACGAGAGACCACTTCTTCAAGCAAAACCCCAGTCACTGGGGCTTCTGGCACAGAAGACTGGACCACAAGAGGCAAGAAAGCGTTGTCAGATGGCTGACCCCACCACTGGCCAGCATTTGGATAAGTTGAATCTAGAGAACACACAAAAAAAAAAAGGGGGTGGAAGTTAAAAACTATACCGTCAAGTTCCATAGAAAAAAAAAAACTATATAAAATCCAATGGTTAAAAGGTCCCCTATTTTACAGACAATTTGGATTAAGACGGAATAATTTGAAAATGATTAAAGAACTTCAGTTTGAGGTGAACGATCACTTTAAGTGCCTTCAAACATCTTGAAAATCCACGATCTAAGAGTTGATAAAGGGTTCACGTAAGTGAGGAAGAATACATACAAACAGCAACTACTCACATGCAAAACCAGGGGCATTCTTCCAAAATTGCAGGAAGACTACTAACAAGAGTAACCTACAGGTAGAAAGAGAGAGCATCAATACATTGATCATTTTCAAGAACTCAACATTTCTTGAACCAAACACACACAGTGCAGCTGGATAAACTCACCTTTTCCACCCTTGATCCATGGCTTAATAAAACCAAGCAACAAAACCAAACACTGATCGCTTATGATTCCAAATCCCCATAAACAAGCCACAGATCCAAACATGCACAGTGTTGGAGGTAAGTGTGTTTTATAGGCCTTCAGCCACTCAATGAAGTCACTCATTACAGAAACACTGTTCACCTGGGGAAATCTCTGGCTGTTGAAAGATAATTGATGAATGTTTTGTGAAGACTCTGACCCCCTCTGCTGTTCAAACATTGTAAAGCAGCTAATCCCAGCCTTTCACTGTTTATTATGTTCAGTTAATAAGTCAATTCGTTATTTTTATAGAGTTTTTTATTGCCTAATATATCAATTTAGCTGGATTGTACATTGTATTGTATATTTGTTTACTAGTATTCTGATTATCCTTCATTTGTCCACAACAAACCGTATGAACTGTGTTGTTACATGTTTTATATAGTTTTCATTTAATACATATCACTTGATATTGCATTCTTTGCACTAAAATACCAACACGATCTCACAGCAATTCGTAACTTTTCGTACGATCTAATTCACACTATTTAGTACGATTTGCTCATCACCCAATGACGGTTGGGGTTCCATGCCTCCTTTTTAAAATCGTACATTTTCATACAACTCAACTTCGTACAAATTCATGCGAATTAGCCACTAAACTCACAAAACGTAAAATACTTACGTTTCCTTGTGAGATCAGGCTGAAATCGCACATTTGTAGACAAGTGTAAAGTAATCTAACAGTATATGGCAAAAGAAGAAATGTCTATTGATCATTTATTTAGACACAATTTAAGAAAGGGTACTAAAGCAACGCTGTTTGTGCTGTGCTCTTCCATTATCTTAGACTTTGATGCGTCAACCTACTCAGTCGCTTAATTTAAGAAATTGTGATTCACACTGATGAGAGTCGTCTTATTTTGACATTCTTATTTAGACTTCTTAAAGAACATTTTTTCTGTTAAATATACAGTGAAAAGATTGCAATAAGTAACAATCCATACAATCCATTATTCCATAATCTTAGCACTTCTAAAATAAAGAGACAGGTTGTTTTGTATTACACACTAGTAGCCCAAATCACTTGATCTAAAGTGTAAACTCTGTCTGGCCTTTACCAGACTGTTTGTCACACATAAAAACATCCACACAGCAGTGTAGCGAAACAATTCATACTACAATGGCTTTAACTACGTTTACAATGATGATACACTAACTGAATCACGTTAAACAATTCCCTTTTGTTTTTACATTTAATTTGTAAAGGACCTGTATTTTCCCAAAAAATAACTAAAATATACTGGATTAATAATACAGTGAGTTGTACATCATGACTAAAGGATCTTCAGGAAATAAGTTGTGAACTTTTTACAGTAGCAGGTTTTTGAAACCGAACAAGTGATTCATTACGGGACAAAAACTTCTTTAGGTTCTCTAATATTCAGTATTTTTGTCATTTACATCATGCAGTTAAGAACACGTTGTATTTTGAATGGTCAAACGTCTCAATATACTTTAAAAACACCTTCCTTCTGTAAACAGTTGTAGGCACAAGCAGTTTTTGGAAACACATGTTGTTAACTCAGTTGCCATATTGAAACAAAGGGGTGAAATAAGTCAAGTTTTAAAGTAGAGAAACCCAAATGTTTTCCCCCAAGTGAAAGATCGCTGTTAAGTGTACCAGGCAAAAAATAAAAATTCTGTAGAATGACAGTCTCATACTCAAACCACACTGGTTTACTATTAAACCTTTAGGTCAAAGTCAAATAAGTGTCACTTGCTAAAATAAATACAATTTAGTGGATTACCTTGTAAGGTCAGTTTGCTACATACTGGCAACAACTAAACTTCCCACACCCAAAAATAACTCATACATGCATAGGAAACTTGACTTCAAATTTTTATTAAAATCAGTTTAGGACGATTGCATCATACAGCAGTTGAACAGTTTCCTAACCCTTGACAGAGTAATAACGTTTCAGGGTAGAAAAGCTGCTGGAAGGATTAGAAATGTCACCGGTTGAGGTCTGGAGGACAGAGGATCCTGTAGAAGACCCATCTTTGGCATTTTGAGGCTGGATTAGTCCACCATATGTGGTGCTTCCTTGCAAAGTGTAAGGAGCAGAGGAACCAGTCTGAGAGCCGTAGACAGCAGTAATTGACTTAGAACTTGGCCCAGCTAACTGACTAGTAAAAACTTGGGGCATTGACACAGATGCATATGGGGCTGAGGATCCTGAAAAAACCTGGCTTGTTGAATCTTGACCCTGGAGTAGTTCTCGCATAGCGAAAGGGGCAGGGGATCCTGTCTGGGTGGAATAGACGGAGGTAACCTGCTTTGAACTTGGCACAGGTGTCAGACTACTAACAACTTTGGGCAATGATACGGATCCGTACGGGGTTGAAGATTCATAAACAACCTGGCTTGTTGAATCTTGACCCTGGAGTAGTTCTTGAAAAGTGAAAGGGGATCCAGTCTGGGTGGTATAGACAGAGGTAACCGGTTTTGAACTTGGCACTGTCATCGACTGACTTGTAACACTTTGGGGCAATGATACAGCTACATATGGGGTTGAAGGTACTGAAACAACCTGGCTTGTTGAACCTTTACCCTGGAGTAGTTTTTGAAGAGTGAAGGGAGCAAAAGAACCACTCGGAGTGCCATAGACAGAGGTAACCTGCTTTGAAGTTGGCACAGGTGTCAACTGACTAGTAACAACTTGGGGCAATGATACTGATACATAAGGGGGTGAGGATCCTGAAACAACCTGGCTTGTTGAATCTTGACCCTGGAGTAGTTCTCGCATAGCGAAAGGGGCAGGGGATCCTGTCTGGGTAGTATAGACGGAGGTTACCTGCTTTGAACTTGGCACTGGTGTCAACTGACTAGTTACTTGGGGCAATGATACAGCTACATATGGGGTTGAAGATCCTGAAACTAACTGACCTGTGGTATCTATAGTCTGGATCAGACCATCATATGTGGTACTTTCCTGCAAAGTGAAAGGGGCAAAGGATCCAGTTTGGGTGGTATAGACAGAGGTAACCGGTTTTGAACTTGGCACTGTCATCGACTGACTTGTAACACTTTGGGGCAATGATACAGCTACATATGGGGTTGAAGGTACTGAAACAACCTGGCTTGTTGAACCTTTACCCTGGAGTAGTTTTTGCAGAGTGAAGGGAGCAAAAGAACCAGTTGGAGTGCCATAGACAGAGACAACCTGCTTCGAATTTGGCACTGGTGTCAACTGACTAGCAACAACTTGGGGCAATGATACGGAGATGCATGGGGTTGAAGATCCATAAACAACCTGGCTTGTTGGATCTTGACCCTCAAGTAGTTCTTGCAAAGTGAAAGGGGCAGAGGATCCTTTCTGGGTGGTATAGACAGAGGTAACCTGCTTTGAACTTGGCACAGGTGTTAACTGACTAGTAACAACTTTGGGCATTGATACAGCTACATATGGGGTTGAAGGTACTGAATCAACCTGGCTTGTTGAACCTTTACCCTGGAGTAGTCTTTGCAGAGTGAAGAGAGCAGAAGAACCACTCGGAGTGCCATAGACAGAAGTAACCTGCTTTGAACTTGGCGTCAACGAACTAGTAACAACTTGGGGCAATGATACAGATACGTATGGGGTTGAAGATTCATAAACAACCTGGCTTGTTGAATCTTGACCCTGGAGTAGTTCTTGCAAAGTGAAAGGGGCAGGGGATCCTGTCTGGGTGGTATAGACTGAGGTAACCTGCTTCGTACTTGGTGCAGGTGTCAATTGACTAGTTACTTGGGGCAATGATACAGCTACATATGGGGTTGAAGATCCGAAAACTAACGGACTTGTGGTATCTGGAGTCTGGATTTTTCCATCATATGTGGTACTTGCTTGCAAAGTGAAAGCGGCAGAGGATCCAGTCTGGGTGCCATAGACAGAGGTAACTTCCTTTGAACTTGGTCCAGCTGTCAGCTGGCTAGTAACATATTTGGGCAACGATATGGTTGCATATGGGGATGAAGACCCTGGAGCAAACGGACTTGTACCTTGGGTAGTTACACCATAGGTGGTACTTTGAGAAACTGAACTAGACAGACCAGGGGAGCTCTGGTCATTAGTGGACTGGCCAGAAACTGCAGTCTTGGAAGCAAAGCCGCCACTTCCCCCTTGTGCAAAGACAATTGGTCCAGAACCACTTGTAGTGGTGGATCCAGAGGAGCCCTGAAATGACACTACACCACTCATCCCAGATTGATCCACAGGCTGAGTAGCTGAAGAGGGGGTATTTGGAGGCAGAGCTTGGGGTGTGGAGTCAGAACTGCTGGAAACATCACCTTTAACAACCTGAAGCAGATTAAATTTGGGGTTGTTTTTCGGCAAACGAGAGACCACTTCTTCAAGCAAAACCCCAGTCACTGGGGCTTCTGGCACAGAAGACTGGACCACAAGAGGCATGAAAGCGTTGTCAGATGGCTGACCCCACCACTGGCCAGCATTTGGATAAGTTGAATCTAGAGAACACAAAAAAAGGGGTGGAAGTTAAAGACTATACCGTCAAGTTCCATAGAAAAAAAAAAAACTATATAAAATCCAATGGTTAAAAGGTCCCCTAATTTACAGACAATTTGGATTAAGACGGAATAATTTGAAAATTATTAAAGAACTTCAGTTTGAGGTGAACGATCACTTTAAGTGCCTTCAAACATCTTGAAAATCCACAATCTAAGAGTTGATAAAGGGTTCACGTATGAGAGGAAGAATACATACAAACAGCAACTACTCACATGCAAAACCAGGGGCATTCTTCCAAAATTGCAGGAAGACTACTAACAAGAGTAACCTACAGGTAGAAAGAGAGAGCATCAATACATTGATCATTTTCAAGAACTCAACATTTGTTGAACCAAACACACACAGTGCAGCTGGATAAACTCACCTTTTCCACCCTTGATCCATGGCTTAATAAAACCAAGCAACAAAACCAAACACTGATCGCTTATGATTCCAAATCCCCATAAACAAGCCACAGATCCAAGCCTGCACAGTGTTGGAGGTAAGTGTGTTTTATAGGCCTTCAGCCACTCAATGAAGTCACTCATTACAGGAACACTGTTCACCTGGGGAAATCTCTGGCTGTTGAAAGATAATTGATGAATGTTTTGTGAAGGCTCTGACCCCCTCTGCTGTTTAAACATTGTAAAGCAGCTAATCCCAGCCTTTCACTGTTTATTATGTTCAGTTAATAAGTCAATTCGTTATTTTTATAGAGTTTTTTATTGCCTAATATATCAATTTAGCTGGATTGTACATTGTATTGTATATTTGTTTACTAGTATTCTGATTATCCTTCATTTGCCCACAACAAACCGTATGAACTGTGTTGTTGCATGTTTTATATAGTTTTCATTTAATACATATCACTTGATATTGCATTCTTGGCAGCAAATACATTCTAATAAACAACCATAAATTAGCAATGCAATCTCACGGCAATTCATAACTTTTTTATTTAGTGGCTGAAGCTGCGGTCACAGTAGAGTTTGATAATGTGAATTTCTGTCATGCAGCGCTGCGAAAAGGATCGGGAATAAACAAGATTATTAGACATTTTTAAAAGTGAGTGATTGCTCCATGTTTTAAATTTCTGTCCAGAGAGGTCATGTTTTGATCCTCGATTGGTCTCACGCAGTCTAGTGATGCGATTTCGCAGGTCAGAGTTCGCCAAGCTTGAAACTCTGCGAAACTTAACGCATGACCCTGCGCTTCCTCTCTGACGCATTCGCGTGCGTATGAATGGAAGTCTATTGGAGGAAAAGCCCAGTGTGACCGCAGATTAATTCGTATGAATTTGTACGATTTAATTCGTACAACTTAGTACGATTTGCTCATCACCCAATGACGGTTGGGGTTAGGTGCCATGCCTTCTTTTTAAAATCTTACATTTTCGTACAACTCGACTTCGTACAAATTCATACGAATTAGATTACTAAACTGACAAAACGTAAAATGCTTGCGTTTCTTCGTGAGATCAGGCTGAAATTACACATTTGTAGACAAGTGTAAATTTGATTACTGTCATGAATAAGAATAAATTACACCACATCAATGTTTATTTCATGAAGCAAGATTTCACGTACATATCTTTATAGTTTTCATACATTAGGATATCGATCACTTCTTTATGAACTTGATATAGCACAATTTACGCAGTACATACATTTATGGCACCAAAATAAATAATAAATAAATATATTGCACTTTTTTATACAAACCATAAAATAACATGAGAAAAAAAGAATACATAAAATGAATTGTTCAGTTCTTGTCTTTCTTCTTGCTATGGTAAACAACTGCTCTTGGTTTGATCTGGCCACTGCAGTTTCTATTAGTTTTTAATGCATTTTAATGGTGCATTAAATCATAATTAATTATAATATTGAGATTTTTAAAAATCATAAAGTATGGAAAACAGTATTGAATGCTGATATTTTTTCAAGGTATCATCTCAAAGTTGTAAATTCCAGCATCATGACAACACATAGTTATTGTAAAGATTATTAAATGCATTAAAAGCACTATGAGTGATTATATTGCATGTATAGTTCATATTTCTAAAGGTTAAGGAATAAAACTCTTTCAAAACAGCAATTATTTACAGTGTCTTATTAAAAGCATGTTAAAGCTTTAGCCAAACATAAATTATTAAATGTTTCACTTTTAGGGAATAAACATTTTTCATATTATTTGTGAACTGTTATGTATGAATTTAGTCTTTATACACACACACACACACACACACATACACACACACACACACACACACACACACATATATATATATATATATATATATATATATATATATATATATATATATATAATTTAATTATCCCCGTCTAAACGTCTGCTTGAGTGAATGTAAGACTTTTAATTTGGTAGGCCGACATGACGTCATAACGCAGCAGTGCGTCCTGTGTGGCTCGGCTGAGGATGTTGTGTTTTTAGGTATCTAATCATCAAAACATGGTTTTATTATGAAGTATGGCATTGTTACGCTTTATTCAACATTACTAAAGGTTGATTTGTGAACATCTGCGGCTCATTTCGCTTCCAGTATCGCCAATCAGTTCATCAAACGAGAAATATCACAGTAAGTAGACGAAAAGGAGCTTGTAGAAACTACGAGTCAATTGAATCAAATGCTGCGATAAATGATTCACTGAATCGCCGAACTCCGACGTCAGGTCTAAAATGAACAACAAACACAAACATTAGTGCTAAACTGTTACAAATCTGCGTGTTAATGAAATGAATTGATAAAATTTATTGTACAAATCATAGCATAAATGCTAAAATACCAACTTCCTGTATAGTTTGTTTCTATTGTTTTCAGTTTTTTGTCTGATCATTGTGTGCTTCTGTGAGTGATTCTCCTCCAGTGCACTGACTAGTGCACTAGAGAAGTGATTGAGACACAGACAGAGGTTTAGTGTTGATTTCTTTTTGTTTGTGTTGATTCTTCTCCTCTTAAACAGACAGAGAAACTCCTGCTGAAGCGACTGAGCTCCACTATTATAAAGATGGCCTTTATTAAAGAGGAGAGTGAAGACCTGAAGATTGAAGACACATTCACAGTCAAACATGAAGATGCTGAGCAGCAAACAGGTTGGCTTTCATTCTCACAGCTACAGATCGACACTAATGAAGGGTGTTGTTGGAGAATGTCATATGAGCGCCTCAGTAAAGTGACTTTTCTGCACATGGAAGCTCATGTAGACAGACATGATAGTTTTGGCTTTGACATTATTCATGAAGCTCAGCTGTTAATGTGTGATCATAAGCTGATTTTGTAGGATTTTCTAACCTCATACTGAGTCGCACTTTATTGAGAAAACTACAAATACACACAGCTGAAGACGTGTTGTTTTAACATATACCTGTCATGATACTTGAAATCAGAGCTCAACTTATTTTTCCAATATTATTGTAGCCAATATCTCACGTCAACACATTAAAGCAATGTATGTTGATTAAGCACATCATTGTAATAACTATAGTTAATAAACTATAATATTACTATAATTATTTGATTATTAGGGTTGGGCAAGGCAGTGGCGCAGTAGGTAGTGCTGTCGCCTCACAGCAAGAAGGTCGCTGGTTCGATCCTCGGCTCAGTTGGCGTTTCTATGTGGAGTTTGCATGTTCTCCCTGCGTTCGCGTGGGTTTCCTCCGGGTGCTCCGGTTTCCCCCACAGTCCAAAGACATGCGGTACAGGTGAATTGGGTAGGCTAAATTGACCGTAGTGTATGAGCGTGTTTGTGGATGTTTCCCAGAGATGGGTTGCGGCTGGAAGGGCATCCTCTGCGTAAAAACTTGCTGGATAAGTTGGTGGTTCATTCCGCTGTGGCGACCCCGGATTAATAAAGGGACTAAGCAGACAAGAAAATGAATGAATGATTATTAGGGTTGCCACTAATGCCTGTTTTAATTTTGATTAATCTGTCGAGTAATTAATGACAGAAACACCACTAGATGGCGCTTATTCACAACAAACAAATGCCTAGTTTGATAACGGCGTTTAAATACATAAGCCTGTCCTGGTGTTTTTTGGCTTTTTCATGAAAGAGTCTTACATATTACTTGATTAAACAAATTTTCACTGAATTATTGGTAACATTTTAATAACTTTTACTTTAATTCATTTTATTTAGCTTGCAAGTGTGCCGTTCTGTAGTGTACCATAAATATTATGGGAAAATGTATATCCAGGAGGATTATGAGGAGTATGTTGCTAACAATCCAGTTCAGTTTAACTAATTTCTTATCCATAGTGCTTTTATGCTGCGTTCACACCAGATGCAGAACGCGCATCAAGCGTGAGTGATTTACATGATAAGTCAATGCAAACGTGTGAATAGACATCCTGCGGCGCGATACGCGCGAATGGCACGGTGCGAATAGCGCGATTGGCGTGGGGCGAATTGAGCGGTTTGCACATTTGATGCGCTTAACAAGCGTTTCGCGCGAATCTCTCGAGTTCGAAAATCTGAACTTCAGCGGACATTCACGCCACTTTAACCAATCAGAAGCTTGCTCTTGTGGGGGCGTGATTGTGACTTAGAACCTGTTGATGGTGTCCCAGGGGAAATCCGCCAGACGATACCGACAACAAGTCATCAAACTGGGCTTGGCTCAGTCAGAAGCACTGCTAAAAGCCTCCGTCATCCAGGTTCAGTTTCTGGAGGAGTTTATGAGCTCGCAGAGCTGGATGCACCCCTGAAAGCATGTAGTGGACTCAGACAGGATCCTAAACGTATCAACGCTGTTTTTCGGTCTTCATAAAGCACATAAACACTGTTATTTTCTTAATAAAATCCATGTTAGCCGTTTAGCTATGAAGCTAGAGTCACCGGGCAGACAGAGGCCCTGCCCATCACGCGAATCGGGGTCTATTTTGAAGTGAATTTGACGCACGAATGAAGCGGGGTTTGACGCGCGAATGAAGTGAGTAAACTCAAATGTTCACACGGCAATTTACGCGCGAATAGCATGATTTATCCGCGCGTTCTGCGTCTGGTGTGAACACAGCATTACAATGTAGTTTGTCTCAAAGCAGTTTTACTGAAAAGAGAATAAAAGAAGTCATTACAATATTTCAGATTGTGGAACATTCCAGCAAATCAGACGTTTTCATGGCGGAATGCAAAAGGTGGAACTATAAAGCCAGTTTTACACCAAAGCTCTAAACCAACAGTCTCAAACTCATTTCCTGGAGGGCCGAAGCTCTACATAGTTTATCTCCAACCACCTCCAACTCATACCTGCTTAATAGTCCATAATAGTCTTGAACACTTTGATTAGTTGGATCAGCTGTTTGATTAGGTTTGGATCAAAACCGTGCATAGCTTGCTGAGTTTGAGACCTATGCTCTAAACCAGGGATCACCAAACTTGTTCTTGGAGTCCTACAGATTTTAGCTCCAACCCTAGTCAGACACACCTGAACAAGCTAATCAAGGTCTTCCTAGGTGTACTTGAAACCCCCAGGCAGGTGTGTTGAGG